ATATAGAAGGGTGCTAAACTTGCTTCAAAATCCAGCTCAACTGTGACCTTATTTGAAGGTCCTTGCACAAATGGTGTTTCAATAGTACTACTTTTACCATCTGCTCCACGTCTGTTTAGATCTAGAGGCATAAAGCATGACGCATCAGACCTAAATAGGCCCCAAACCATAACTAGCTCAGCATGTGCATCTGAGAGCTCCGATGGCAAAGCTTCTACAAGCACTTTGTACTTTCCATTTGTCTTTTCCACTAAGACTTTCACTTGACCACCAGTATCTGTCCTGAAAAGGTAAGTGGGAACCGTTTTTGCAGTTTGAATGAGCGAAATACCTGATGTTGATAGTGCTTTTAGTCGATGAGTTCTCTTAGAAACTTCTTGATCAGTTTTTCGACTTCTGCCAGAGAAATTTATCTCTTCCAATTCCAGCTTCCTTAATCTGCATAGTACTCTTTTTCCATGGTTAGCTGGAGGCGCAGGAACCAACTTGGTTGATTCACCAATGCCATAGCTCAATAAACGTGATTGCACAGCCAACTGTACTGTTAAAGTTGCCATTTTAAAACTGCACAACTAAATGTTACCACATGCTCAGACATACAACCTGGTGAATCATATATTCTTAATCAAGTCCTGCAAAAATACCACAAACCTTATACATTAGCAAAAGAACTGAAAGAGGTGGTAGCTTTTCCGAGAATTCTTTAGCATGCAAAGTGACTTCAGAGCAGGACACCGATAATGGAACAGCCTCCAGAAACTATAAGACTCACGAAAGATTTTTGTAATTAGTCATTTACGTGGTGCTTATAATTTTTGGAAAATTCTTTGGAAATGTTTTATGAAAGGATATTTAGGAAAGATTTTCTGAAATTAATTTGTATATAGATGACTAACTATCAAAAAGTCAAAACATAAGTGATTGGATTTAACGTTTTCCAAAGTAGAAAATTATAGTTTGAAATGCTTTTACTTTGGGAAAGTATCAATCAGACCTCCAGGTATGTAAACACTACAACAATATTCCTAAGTCTACATCATTAGACTAATAATAAGTTTTTGACATAAAATATAAAAAACATAAGTAGGTTTATCAACAAGACAACACTGACAAAATGGCATTGCCGGAGAACGTGAAAACATAAGGAACTTGCGGCAACCCAGTACTTTCGACATGAAGCATAAATTTATGTGTAAAAATCCACTAAAATTGCAAAAAACAGGAGTAGATATGAACCCATAATTGTAACAATATAATTGGGTTTAAAGATAAGAACCTTAAAGGTAGAATGGATAGAGCTTAAGTCCTGGATCCGCCTCCGAAAAACATATGATTTAAAAGGAAAAGTAACTTATAAATAAACAGGATCAGATTAATAACATCTAAAAGTTTATGGGTAAGTCTGGATTGGTTTTGGGTATGCTTTTCAGGATATAATTTTCTTTTGTCAACTGTACATTTTCAATATTTTTCAGTTTAACCAAAAATCTTTTCAAAAGCTTTTTGGGGCGAAATGGAGATACTCAGAAATTTATTCTTACTGTTTAACCGCAAGTAAGTATCTACAATCACAATTTCAAGCTATTACTAATGGGGAGCAAAGCAGAACCTACATTACAAATTGGAGAATCACACTGAATAATGATAGTCGAGGTGAGGCGTTAGTTAATAAGTGATATTAGTCTAAACAGAATAGAAAATAAGAAAAATGAAAAATATCTAGAGAGAGAGAGAAAACATACCATTTGATTCGGTCAGATAAAGAGAAATTGAGGAATTTGGTGCAGAAAGATAAACTTAGCTGCAATAGCACAAACTCTGTAATTAAGAGTGGTCAAGATCGTACGGGTCCATTTATTTGTTTTTTAAGGAACGTGAATTTGGGCTAATGGGCCCCAATTGCTTTTTCATTCGTGAAATATCTCACTTTTTTTCGTTAAAATATCATGGTATAGCCAGTTTTCAACTGGTCAATAAAAAATAGCCAGCATTTATCTAGTCAATGAAAAATAGCCACTATTTTGCTGCAACAGGGACCGATCCAGTATAATATACGGGAGTTCTGGTGCATTTGTGTACGAACTCTAGCATATTATGCTGGACCGGTATACTTTGCTAACTCCTGTAAAATTTGCGGGAGACTGGAGCATCAGTGCTCCAAACTCCAGTATATTATACTGGACAATTATACTTGCTGGAACTCCCGTAAAATTTGCGGGCGTATTTTTCCGGATTTTGAACAGTGTTTTCGCTCAGATTTAAAGTGGCTAAATTTCGATGACTTTTGAAACTTGGCTATTTTTCAACGACCAGTGGTAAATCTGGCTATTTTTGAATTTCTGTTTATTTCTTAAAATATATAACTAAGCTTGCACAAATACCGGCATCGCTTAATTGAGAGAGATCATCTGTATCCAGTGATATGTGAATTGTGAAAAATTTTATTTTGTGCATCACACAACTGACACTAGTTGTGTGAGGCCTCTTTTTTGTCTCACAACTGTGTGGGTCCCAGAATTTTGTGGACCCAGTTGTGTAAGATGTAGGTCCACAAATATAAGAGATAAAAAGAGGTCTTACACAACTAGTGTAAGTTGTGTGAGACACAAAATAAAATCACTCTGTGAATTGTTCACTAGTATTTCACTATCCTTGTTAGCAGATACTACAATTCAGACTAAATTATTTTGGACTCTATCAGTCCACTGATAAGTTTTATAAGTTGATTAAAGGTTAAAACCATAAACCAATGTGAAAAGTGAAAAGTTCATCTATCTTCCAACTGAATCACTATAATTGCTAAAAAAACTCCTCAATAGTAAAAACAAAATATATCATCAAACAGTAAACTAGGGAAATTCTATTATGTATAATTAAAATTAGCCTTTTAGAGACCGTACCAATCATGTTGGTTTCTCTTCAGTAACGATACGGTTCGGTTAATTTTCGGTATTTTTTTAAAAGTCACCAGTAGAAGCAGAATGCAATAGCGTCCGTACTTTTAGAGGACTTAGCAAAACTCTCTAGACATTTTTACTATCTAAAGGGTGATGAATTAAGAAAACATGAAAGATGACCAGAGTATAGATCCATCAACTATTCTATAGCAGCTAAAAGTAACTAAGTAAAGACAAAGAAAATATAAATCACACAAGTGGAAAGATATTAAGAAAGTTGGGTCTCAAGAATAAAGTTTATAGAAGATTAAATATTCGAAAATATAAATTTAAATCATACGAAAGGAAACATATTCAATACATTCATAATCACTAGAATACCTTGTGTCTTGCTAGTGAATATGCAGGAAATAATTTAGTTTCAATAGGAGTAGTATAATAGGTTTGAGAATTAGGATTTTGATCTTAATTACTTGTTGGCTTGTAACCGTTTTCATAATTACAAGGCCCAAGGAAAAATTTAATGCTTTGTTGTTTTTAAACTTAATATATAAATATATTTTTTCAATGTAAATTTATTAGGTACAGTTCGGTATTTTTTCGATTTATTTTCATAAAATAAAAAACCTACCATAATTATCAGTTGGTTATAGGTTTATATAAAAACCTACGGTTTTATTAAAAGAAACCTAAAAATCGGTTCGGTCTGGGACGGCCAGGGGCGGTCCTTTCATAAAGCAAGTAAATCAATTGCTTTAGGCCCCACATTTATGGGAGCCCATTTTTTGTTACACCTAATAGACTATGTATAAGTTTAAAAAAAGATTTCGTGAAGTGAAAAACTTTGATTTCTTTCTTTAACAAGTATAGAGAAGATTTGCAACCGTTATGATTTCTACCAAGAAAATTGCACTTGAAATGAATATCGAACACTAATTTCGTAGGAAACGTATGATATATAGGAAGTAACAATTTGATGAGGATGTTGATAATAAAATCTCAAAATCTTTCGAAAAGTCCTTTGGAGTTGATTACTTTATACATAATAGACAAGGCTATTTTTTCACTTCAAAATAGATTTGAACAATTCGAAGCATATGAAAATATTTTTGATTTTCTATTTAGTGGTAAAAATTAAAATTATTAGATGATGAAAATTTGAAAAAAATATTGCCTTAATCTTGAATATTCCTTAAAGCATAATAATCAATTTGATATTGATGGTTTAGATTTATTTTTGGAACTAAAAATATTAAGAAAAATAGTATAATTAGAAGTAACAGTTTAATTGATATACTTATGGAATTAAATAGTCAAATAAAAAAATTTGATCTCTTTCCAATGCCAATATTACTTATGGAATAATGTTAATAACTCTTGTTTCCGTCGTTTTAACGGAAAGAAATTATCAAAATTAAAATTGATAAAATCTCACCTAAGATCAATAATGTCTCAATAAAGATTAAATGGATTAGTTATATTGACAATTAAGAAAGACTTATTAGGAGTTATTGATTATAAGAAAATTATTAATAACTTTGTATCTAAGAAACGCTAGAAAAACAGATTTCAAATAAATAAATAACTTTTTTGTAAAAAAGTTAAGGCCCCTCATAAAATTTGGCTTTAGGCTACAAAACTCATCGGGCCCCCCTGGGTACGGTTCGGTCGGTTTAGTTGATTTTTAAATATCCATTGACACCCCTACAGTAAAAAAAGTGGGAGTTGATTCAATGAAAATAAAAATATAAATTTCAGTTGTCTCTCAAAGAGTTAAAAATAAATTTTATTTTTGTCGTGTTTGGGACCCCTCTTTGAGTCTCATGTGCCAAAATTAGTTCCAGAAATGGAATGATTTTTCTTAGGGAGTAAAAATTGTTTTTAGATAATCTTGGGAACGACATATTTACTCATTGATTGGTCCAAATTGGCCTCTATTTGCCATTTGTCTCTGATAATAATGTGATTGAGGGATGAGAGTTCTCAGCCTAATGAAAACATGCCTCTGTGTGTGTGATGGCTCATAGGCCTATTTTTGTAACATCTTGACGGGACTGAGTATAGAGAGACCTTGTTTGGTATTTTACACTTTGATTGCTGAGATATTAGAAGGATGAACTGAATTTTACCATTATGGCTAAACACTCTTTCTTTTAGCCTTTGAATTCTGCACAAAACCAGATCCAAACTTCACATAGTATGAACAAGTTAAAGAATTCTTTCTCCTATAGTGAGCATTTACAGGGCGCATGAAATATCATCATCATCATCATCTATGCGCGTATGAGTTCTGCATTCAGTACATTCCCATTGAGTTACATTCTAATGCAGAAATCCCAACTCAAGCTATAATGGGAAACCGAAGAAAGAATAACCGCTTTCTTAAGTTCTTTCTATCTGTTTTGGGTGACAAAACTGACTATACAACCCGTGTCTCAGACGCCCTCTTCAGACTGCGTCTTACTACCCCTACATCTCTTGGTTGGAACAAGTGGATTATTCTCCTCATCGTCAAGTGCTGTCGGTCTCTCAAACTCTACACCTTTAAAAACTGGGTGTACATAAGCGTCCTTGAGATATGCTTTTAAATTAAGGTTTGGTTCTGTCGCCCGTTCTAGTGTATCCTTCACCATTGCATCCTGCAGCAAACACTTAACAATCTTAGCCCGAGTTGACAAACATGGTAATAGCATTCCTAAGAAGATATAAAATATATGTGTAAAGACTGGAAGTATAATAGACAAGAATTTCTCTAGAATGCAACGATTGTCTTTGCTTATAATGTGCTGCAGTAGGTAATGAACACTAACCTGCAAGGGGAATTTGACAAATGCTGACTCAAATCGGCCCTTGCAAAATATATGGAACCAGATTGTCAGAATTGGAAGTGCAATCAGTATTACATTTGATCTGGCAACATTTTTGGTGCTCAACAGTCCCAGCAATAGAAGCTGGGATATAACCAAACCTACAATTATACGACGATGCACATCTGGCCAGAATGATGCGCCGCTCTCATACTTCTGATCATACACATTGATGATCTACAGGAAAGAACAAATTTCAGTATCTGACCATTTGATGGATCTAGGGAGTAGAAACAGTAATGGTAAATGTTGCAGTTCAAGGCCGTTGATACAAATGTAAGTTATCTTTTGCAGTAATTAGCTGAGTTTGTTAATCAAATAATGTGTTATTAGAAATGGCTAAGTAAAGGGATGTCATCTCTTTGACTGAAGAAAGAGTTGTTACTAGAAATATAAAGCAGGAACAAGTGTAAAAACCCAACAAAGCAAACAGGTTCAGGAGAAGGGTCAATTCTTCAGATATTACACATGAACGTTATTGCACACTGAAAAGTACAAACTACATATGCTATATTTGCTTCATTGGCAATCCACATACCGAAATGTAACTCTTGGAGAGCACTAGATGTTTTTAGGTTCCATTGCTTTTAAGCATTTATCATGCATCTCGTCTTTCCACCTTCTCAACAAGATATCTAAACATCTGTTGCATAAGCAATAGTGAAATACCTGATGGCGGAAAACCATATAAGCGAATGCGAAGAAGACGATGATGAAAGGCAGGAGTACGGGTGTGACCACTGAGTACACAAGGCCTAGTAGGAAGTACAGTTGTATGCGAGGTTCTGATACAGAGAAATTCAACGAACCAGGATCTGTAGCCTGCTCTCTATCCTGATCTGTCTTTACCAGAAACGTATTCTTAAGATGAAACATAACTAATGGAACCAATCTAAGAATCTCTGCAGCAATTCCAGCCCAACCATCAACCATTATGTAGGTAATGAAGAAAGTAGCCTTCAACGGAATAGCTACACCAACTGTTTTTGGGATTCTGAACGAAAAGGAACAGGTTAAACAAGCTGTGTATATGATCAAGACAGAAAATACATAACCACTAAACCAAGGGATCCTTTCATATCAAATACACAGAAGTTATGTAATACTAAGGAATTTCCTGTAAACACATTCAGACTCCTTCCACAATAATCTAAAGTGTCACTTAAATAATCCAAAATCTTGATGCTTCACACTTCAGCACACATAAAGAACTCCTATATGATAGATCGGTCAATGTAATGGCATCTTCAGTTACAGTTTTCGCTGAACATCATATAATGAAAACTATTGCTGCACTTTGAGGGAAATATTGTTCAAAGAGCACTGCTAAAGAATTAAAATGTTTCAGGTCACAAGCAGGATTCAGCTATCAATTTGTAAGGAACATTCCACAGATACAATTCTAGATAACAGTGAGCTCCTAATGCCAAAGGTTGATTTTTCAGATCATTCCAGTCTCTGAACCAAGAAAAGTAAACAATTATAGGAGGTAACATGTTAGTCACCAAATAATGTGAATGTAATCTTCTTTCCTCTTTCTTATGTTATTTTTTTTTATATCAAAACAAAAAGATTGGTTATTTCTAGCACTCCAAGAAAAAGATCCGTGAACATGTCATGTCCCCCATTTAGACGAACAGTAGGAACTCACTCTGATGGAGGCTCTTCCACAAATCTCTGAAGCTGCTCAAATGCTGCTCCAGTGATGATACTTCCCAAGAACACGTTGACAAGGATAAAAAAATGATATTTAGTTGCTGATCTTCTGTCCAAAGATGAAAGTGATGTATAGCCTTCTATTTTTGACATGGCCATTAGAATCATAGGAAGAAGAATCAGAAAAATCTTCAGTATAATCCCAGGAAGAACACCTTGGATAAAAGATTTGACAACTTCCCTGTAACAGGAATTCCAGAAGTAAGAACCTCAAAAATTGATTTATTAAATACATGATATTCTCAAGTGCACAAAATCAAAAAGGAGTCCTCAAGTGCAAATATTGAAGTTTGATGCTTAATTTTGTGGGTTTCTTTGTCTTCCTAGATAAGTAAGCTAAACTGATGGCTTTTAACCTTCCCCATGAAAAGATTTTGCAAGGGTATTGAAAACAGTATAAAAGTATACACATAAACCTCTATCCGGTACTCTGAACGCTTATATGGAATGGGTAGAAATATTCTTATGGTATAATCACCCATCACTACAACAGAATTTCGAAGTGATCTTTCTTTTTTTCCCCCTCTCTTTGACGCATAAATACTAGCACCCGTTTTACTAACAACGTAAGAAGATCACTTCCTTTTTTTCTATAAGTAAAAAATCACAAAGTAAGAAGATCACTTACATCTGTATCAACGGCCTCAAGACGGGAAGTTTATTCTCAATACCATCAATACTTGCCAAAGACTGAACGAATGCAATAGGGATCATAAAAAAGAATGTAAGAAAGAAGAAAGCAACAGCCATTAGCAGTTTGCGGACATTGAGTTCAACATATGGTATTGATAGATTATCCCAATAGACATCACGTGGTTCAGGAGCCCATTGTGTCAACCAAATGGTTGGGTTACTTGATTGTTGTGTTTGAGCACAGACAGCCGCTCCCCAACGAGATTTAAATGAAACAAATGCTGCAGGAACTATTGCCTTGGGATCACTCATAACTTTTTCTCTTTCTAAAGCTTCCTACATCAAAGAGTAAGTCTGTCAGAATAAGTCTATTACCATATTGCAGCAGGCAACCGAAATAAATTATTTATTGCTATAACTATTAAATCAAGACTTCTCCATTTGCAAAATTTATCTTGTTTCACTAATTGGTTGCCCATAAAGTGAAAGTTTTAGGTGTAAAAGGATAGGAATCTCTACTAGTAAAGCAAAGACAGCAACCCTATGTATCATTCAACATAAATCAACACAAATTGATCTAAAATCACCTTATACAAGCTAGCATACAATTAGGTTCAGCCATTAAAATTATCAGTGCTACCACAGGTTATGTCACGGTTTACGTTACTCTAAATCCGAAAATCATCATATTTGACAAGAGACACCAAAAGAAGCTGAAAATATTTTCTCACATGCTAGCTAAAATCAAACATTAGTGAGAATAAACATTTTGGCATAATTCATGCAAGGGTTGGCCAGGAAAAAGCTCCTGGTTTATTTTGGATTCCCTGAATGCAGATTAAATTTCCCAATGTACTACGTTAATATAACTATGCACTACACATGTAGATGCATCTTCTTTGCTCTATATATAAAAGAGCTAGTTGAAATCGTGATTTCTTCAAGATGGTGCTTAAAATATGGAAAGATCTGAGAGGTCACATTTTTATGCATGAGCATGTACTCCCATTAAATCTTAGGATTTGCTGATAGTTTGTATGTCCTGTTAAATAGTCCTCTATGGCACATTTCTCTCCAGATTCGATCAAGTATGCCATAAACACAGAGCATGTTGCTTCTTTCTTAACAAACCTACAGTGTTGACATCAGTTTGGTTTTCCAACATGTAGCTCATTTGATGAGAAGAAAGAAGCGTGATTTGTTAAACATCAATGAGTTAAGCCAGTAACTTAGAATGAATCAATTGGGAAGTATAACCCAAACCATGATAAGCTTTTAAACAGTGGTGAATGACTTCATGAAGATGGAAGAACAGACAATACTCCAAGCAAAAGTACTTATTCAGATGAATTCATAAAGAAGAAAGTGAAATGATATACCAGTCAGAGACACTTACTTCTTTACTCAACTTCTCAATTTCAGCGGTATAATAGTCAATGGCGTCCACAGTTTTTCCCCAAAGGCCCCAAAACCCTGTCTATACATGACTGAACATGAGATTCGTTATGTATGATTAACTCAATATATTTAACAAGAAAACCAAAGAGCAAATGAAATTAAAATAATGCTTTGCTGTTCGAAAAAGCAACAAGGCAAAGAAAAAAGTACCTTCGTCTTTGGCTTAATCTTAGGGTTTCTCTCATACTTAGTTTGGTAGTATGTAAGCCAATTTTGATAGCTCTTCTTCTTCTCCACCAATTTAGCTAGATTATTTGCATTGTAAACAACCTACAAGTTGCATTAGTTTAAGGTTGATCAATTGCAGTAACTGCAAACCAGGACATGTAAGAATGAGAAATGGCTAAATCCCTACTTCTTGCTAGGCTAGATAAAACATATCATAACTATGTTATCTAAAGAAGTGAAGAGACATGATATTAAACAACATCATATTAACTATCGTTTCACATCAATTTATGAAATGCATCATATTAACATTCAAAAGGATAGAAACCTGGTGTGTTAGATAATGATCTGGATGATTCACGCAAAAGAAATGTTCAACATGCTCGCTCACTGATTCATCTGGATCTGGAGGGACATTTCTCACAAGGACCTATAGGAGGAAAACGCTGGTAAAGTAACCAAAGGGTGTACCACAGAACACTCTAAACATTTCAATGAATTATGTCATGCACCTACAGTAAACTGATCAGGCCGACGATTTTCAGAGGCAAGAAACTGCAGCCTCATGGTTGATATTATATGATATTCTTTGTATAGTATATAGCAGGTCCAAAACGTGACTGCATAAGCCATTACCAGGTGTGCCCAAAACCTGATCAAAAAAGAATAAATGGAAGGTTAATGTAGTTAGTAACAAGTCTTCAACAGCATAGCTGTATCCTTATAAAAACCACTAGATAAAGGAAGCTGCAATTGCTAAGCCTGAGGTGCTATTTTGTACATTAGTCTTTTATGTACTAAAAGTGAAGAATACAGGAAAGTCTGTCAATTTTGTGCCAAAACATCTGAGCATGAACATATGTTCATTAACAGTTATTGCAGAACATACAGATGTGCATGAATATCTTGTTGATACCTTGATAATAGAATATTATTTAAAATATAATTATGACTTGTGATGTGAAACTTCTATACCAAATTAATTATCAATTACGAACATTTTTAGACCAAGAAAGATACCAAGACAGAATGGCAAAACTAAATCCTCACCTCTGTGATCCAGAAGGGACATTGGATATCGAAAGTTTATCGATACCGCTGAATGTAAGATCCTCAATTTGCTCCAAATGTTTCCCAGTCCAATTGACAGGCACTAAAACCCCAAATGAAAACAGTGCAATAGGAACAAAGATTTTCAATCTGCATTAATAATTCTGGAGTTAGTTCTGATACACGGAAACCACCAATAACGTAAACCAACTCTTTTGCCACTTATCCTTTAGAAGTTCCTAGTTAAAACGACTGAAGCATAACTGAAAGCACTGTGTTATCAATAAAAACTATAGCCTTCTAATGAAATGGACAAGGAATATTCTAAATGTTGTGAACTCACCCAAGAAGGTATATCCGTATATAGACAGCAGAATCAAGACCAGCATGATCGATAAGCTCTGGTTCTGGCATTCTTAGAGCTGCAGGCATCCAATTCAGGAACCTTATGTATGTTCTGCAATCCAAGTTGACAAATTTCCTCACAAATGTTCCGGAACTTCTTGGGCTTGCTCGTATTCCCTTCAGATACCATTTTGAGAAGTACACTCTGTCATTGACTGGCTGGAGTCGTAGAATAGCAAAGGCCACAAGAAATGCAAATGCAGATAGAAGATTGAGAACAGCTGACAGAAGAATATCATCACTGCTAGCCATGTTTCCTTCAGAATGTTACCTGTAACCTGTTATTACCAGGGAAGACAGGTATGTATAAGAGTGACAACTTTGCCAATTATGGTATTTCTCATAATGAAGATAAATACTACTCATAACCAAGTTTAACAAATATGCCATCAGTCCAGTTAGCAGTCAGCAGAGGTAGAGGCGGATGCAGCCTTTTTCACTGGGTTCAACTGAACCAGTAATTTTAACGCAGAATATAAATATATGTGAAAAATTAGTAAAATTTCAACAAATATCAGATTTTGGACTCATAATCTCAATAGTCAGCACCTTTTGCTTTATTATCAAGGCAACCAGAAGAACTAGAACCTATAGGCACTCCTTTTTCCCAGCCGCAATGATGGCGCACTTTCGAGGTCTGTCAATCACCTTTTGACTCTATCAGCCTGTACAAGTGCAACGCCAATATCAACAAATTAAATACCAAAATATGCATACTTCACCTCAAATTAAATTGAAGAAGCATCAAAGTTATAATTTATACACTTACGCAGAACAGTATGCTACGAGACATGTAGAGCGTTTTTTGTAACACCCCTCATAACCAAAAAAATAATAATCACAAAATAAACTTATTGGGTCACATGGGGATGGCAGATAGGGCGGAGCAAGTGGTACTGCTTACAGCTTCGGCAGAACCTATTAACTTTGGCTCAAATCATGTATTTGTGTTAAGAAATTCACTTAATATGTATACATGATTTATTCAGAACCTAGTAAGTCGTCTTTTCTAGAATTCAGAATAAACTCAAAATTCTAGCTCTGCCTCATATGGCAAAGTCTTGAATATGACATTTGAGAGCACGATAATTATGTTTAATCCCAGAGTTAACAGGATCAAGACAATGTGAACATGAAACAGCTATGCCGTAGATGATACAATGTTATAAAAGATCTTGTTATACATTAATGGTCTTTTAAACAAATCAGAATTAGGAACAGAGGCCCATCAGTTTTGTTTTTTCTATTCATTTTTCTTTCGAATTCAGAAATTGCTTTTCTGAATATCATGGGATTGATAAACAGCATATATCTCTCCAATAATCAACAAAACACATAAAAAAAAACAAAAATTTGTGGCTCATGATTATACAAACTCGAGAAGATTAATGAACAAAGAATTGACATATGACAAACCTTAAAACTAGCAAAGTTTTTTGCTTTCCCTCCTCTCTCACAAGAACCCAAACGTATCGACAAGATTTTTTTTCTCCCTTTGTGACCAAGCAAACAAAGATATCTCTTCAATAAGAAAAAGAGGTGAATGAATATATTTGAATGGAAAAACAGAAGCTCAATGTAATGTGGGTGAAGAAAAAGATTCAGTTAGGGTTTCTTAGAGAGGAAGATGATGATTTTGATGGAGGGGAAAATGTGCCCGAGCCTGAGGAGGGGGCGGCAACAAGCACGGGACCGGCCTTCCTTTTGCTGTGTGTATATGCGTCTCATGACACTTTCACCATAAACGTTATATCCTGTTTATTATTAACAGACCAGCTGCTGCTGCATAACTTGAAATATGCAATTACAAATATACCCCTATGCGCTCTCAGCTGGCTTTTCTTGTGATCAGGAGGTCACAGATACAATAGACCCTTCTGGTCCAGCTCTTGAGATTAATGTACCGAACTGCCCTTTTATATTTAAACCTCGGGGAAGAATTTAAAAGGTCAAACACTCTTGCTAAATTAGAAAAGAAGAGATTAAAAAATAAAGTAAGAATTTTTTTTGTATTTGACATTTTCCTGACAGTCCATCTTATTAGTAGTGTATTAGCTTTTTAAAATATTTAATGAATGAAGTATGAATAACATTTCAGAATTGGATATTAAATAACTTTATTACCTTTTATAACATAATCAAATTAACAAAGTATTTTTTTTTATAACTTTTGATTTAGAATAGCCAAATGAGATGGAGACTTGAAATTGTAATAAGTGTATTAGTATAACAGTTAATCATTATAAAAGGAATAGGAAGTCCTAATAAACGAATCTGTTATAGAGAAGTTTGACCGCATATGTTGCTATTCATCCAAAAGTAAAATTAATAATTTAAAAATATAAATTAAATTATCAGTTATAACATGTTAAAATTAAGATGGAATTAAAGCCCACCAAATTGGTTCTGACTGAAATGCTTTAAGTTTTTGTCATAGATGTTTAAGTTTTAATATCATTCCACAACATCATGAAGTAATTAAAATAAGTTTTTATTTGGCATAACACATAAATAAAACCTTAAACTTAGTCTCAGCTGGCAAGTATGCCCTACAATTTTGGGTGAGTACAAGTAGGACACCTCAACTTGTATAACGTTGAACCGAAAAATAAATGCTGGCGTGGCACATACATTTTGGAGGTGTCTAGATGATCATTTTGTAAGATGGAGTATTTAACTGACAAAGTGGAGACAAATTGAGGTGCCTACTTATGCACACCCAAAGTTGGAGGGCATACTTACCGGCTGAAGTCAAGTTTGAGGGCATATTTATGTATTATGCCTTTTTATTTTCATATAATTAATTCAAAAAATACGAAAACAAGCACCTTCCTTTGGAAGGATATTAGTTGGCATGAAGGTTCTAGAAAAAATTAAATATTATGTTAAAAAACGGAGAGCTGCATATTTGAACTAATTCCACAAATGCCCTTCGCGTTTACTGCGTGTCCTGTTTCTGTTTTGTATAGTGTTATGATGATTCGCTGTCTTGGGCGGTTGCTGTGGGCACCTGCATTTGTTAGTCCGAGGTTATTCTTGTCTTCCAAATTGACTTGTTGTTTGTCTCAACTTTTTTCTTTTCAAATTCCTAATGACTATGCTTCTTGTCGTTTGTGGTGACTGAAACATGAACACATGGCGGGTGCATTGCAAATGAATTCTGATATCTGACATGATCTTACGACTTTATGTTGTGATGTTTGCTTATGTTATTTTATTTTAATTAGTGTCGATTTGCTATATCTATGCATACTATGTGCTATAAATATTATCTTACACAAACATATAAAATTGTGTGACAATTGTAGAATTAACTCAAGTAAATTGTGTTTGAGGCAGACTTTAATTCTTGTCTCAAATTAATATTTATCTTATTTTATTTTTAAGCAATATCAATCTATTATTTTTTATGCACGTTAAACCATTTCTTTTCTATTGTTCAACGCGTTAAATCAATTCAGGCAAGCAGTTACAATGAGTAATTTCATTTTTAAATACAATGGGGACATCAAAAACAGCTACGTTTCCAATTAAATCATGGTTTGGTTTACGCCGGGAACCCGTCCTTTTCAATCTATACGTGTGGGTAAGCAATAAAGATGGTAATCTTGAACAAAACTATCTCCATGCTGGTGAGTGGTGACGTCCTATCTAAATTTATAAAGATTACTTCAAATAAAGATACACTCTTTCCTAAATTGGAACCAGGAGAAGGAAAGGGGATCTAAATAGTAACTCAAAAAATCAATGTAACCAAAATGTTTGTTTACAAAAGCTCATAAGTTAGCATTTCATGGATCATTTCCTTACAACTTATTGGCATTATAGCAATATATGTGATCGAGCTATGCAATGAATCAACTGCGCCTCAATTCGGGTCGGGGATACGAATCATCTAATATCCATTCTACTTTATTCAACTTCATTCTTTCCAATATATCATTATGGTGCCGACATACGAATATTTAAGAAATTAACTTTATTTTGTTAAAAATATCCGCACCTAGACTCCCCCACCACCACCGCCACCTCCCGCCCCCACCCTCACCCCCCCAAAAATGGGTGTAAACTAGTGTCTAAAGACAACCGTTTTCCTTTTTTTGTGTTGCTTTTATCTTTGAGAAAGGAAAGTCTCGGTTGTTGTTGTTTTTTCTTTTTCTTGTCTTTTTAACTCTGAGGATTCTATTCTTATTTCCCGTTTCGTTTATCTACTTTGAGGTGCCTGTAAATAATTTAATTCATATCTAACATTCTTTAAAAAATGTACTATTTGTTCAATATTCCATGAATTTTACCTCCAAGACCATGGTATCTTTAACTAGCAAAATAGTACCATTGCCACCAAGACGGCCACGTATTTTTCAGATCTCGGTGCTCTTTTCGCCATTTATTGGAGTAGGTTCTTGTGTTTGTAACTTCTGCATCATATGATGGTCCAACTGTTCCAACCAAAATAGAGACCTATTTTATTTGCATTAAAACAGATATATGGTGAGGTCAGTAGTGCATCTTGGGAGTAGTTTGTGCATGCGGTAAAATTGGTTTGTGATAGTTGGACGAATGAAGAGATGACACGTGGAGCTGAAGACAGGTAGGAAGTGAATCAACGAATAATTGATACCTGTTGCGAACATGTGACTAGTGCTGAAGGAATCCCGAAGACAGAGTAGGCGATGACAAAGATTCAAAACATTGACATCGGATAGCATTCAATGAGCAGCCGTTATAGAGAATATCTGCATTTATAATCAACTGTTACTCAATCATCAATGACGATTTTATTCTCATTCAAGAGGAGCTTGATTTGGGGACCCATTCTTTATAGGACACGAAATATTCTGTACACATAAGCTAAATTCTGCCTCCAAATTATAGGATTACTTACTTTCTTTTGTTCTTAATATCTTTTTATACTACTACTTCCAGAGTATCATACCAGTATGCTTGCATTTCTTCATGCTATTTTCACATTCTTGATTTCATTCTCGTTTATTTCATATTTTTGGATCAAACTAATTCACGTGTCTATAAATCACACTATAAATTCAACGGTACCGTTTAATAGGTAAATAATTTGGTGTCCACCGTGGGGCATAGACAATTGTGTAATTGCTTTGTTCCATTCATCTCTTTCTAACAAATTTTGATTCCTTTCTTAGCAAAAGAAAAATCAGATAAGGCAGCTAATAATATCAACAATGTCTACAATATCGGAGCACGCAACGGACGTGAAGATGTGTTCCAACGTGATGATTCAACTAGCGAAACCCTCTGTGAAGGAGATGAAACAACTAAAGTTCGTGAAGGTCACTATCCTCGACATATGAGGGGTGCAACTCCTGATGATGCAGATGATTAACACGTTGTTGAAATGGTCAAAATCTTGAGAGAATAACAAAGAGCGATTATGGATCACCTCTCGAGACAAGATCATGTGATGACAGAATTGAAGCAGGCGTTATCAGGTGCTTCCAATAATGCTAGTGAAGGGCTCCGATTCCTCCCAGCCTTCCGCAAATCAAACGGATCAAAGAACCGATAACGACGCTCCAAGGGAGGAGATCGATTTCAACGAGGCAGGAGGTACCGGTAGTGGATGTGGGAACAATAACTCAAACAACCCTTTCAAAATCGAGCTCATAAGATTCATGAGGGAAATGAATGAATGAATTGACCAAAATGCTAAAGAGTTCCATGCTCGGATAGATCAGATCCCAGGAGTGTTGTCGGTGTTAAAGGGACCGGATTCTAAGAAGTATATGCAGTTGCCGTTTAAACCAAGTGCAGCTCCGGAGTTAATCCCAAAGAGGTTTAAGATACCAGGTATACCAAAATATGATGGGACTTCGGATCCACATGAACACGTCACGACCTGGCCCAATACGAGATCGAATCTGTTTTAATGAAGAAGTTTGGCGAAACCGTGACAAAGGGTGCCTTAACTTGGTATTATCTCTTACCTGAACATTCCATTGATTCTTTTGACATGTTTGCAGATTCGTTTTATCAAAGCTCATGTTGGAGCAAGAAAGGTCCAGGAAAGAAAGGCAGATATATTCAGAATATCCCAAGGAGAATTTGAACTATTGCGAGAGTTCGTGATCCGGTTTCAGAAGGAAAAGATGTTGTTACGAGTTGTACCAGGTGAAGAGGTAGCGGAGGCATTTATAAAGGGTCTCAACCCGTTAAGTTCCGATGCCTCCCCGAATTTGAAGGAAAGTTTTCTAGAATTTCAGGCAACCATATGGGCAGATGTTTATAATTGCTACGAGTCAAAGATCAGGATAGAGGATGACCAATTGGGTTCTTTGGTGTCTTCCAAAGGACAGAATCATGATCAGAATCAAGATAAGTTCAAAAATGATTTTGATGCAGATCGGAGGTCCTCTACAAGTCATTTTCAACCTTATGAGTGGGCTGATGGGCGTGGAAATAAAGGCTTTCAGTCTTTGGATAGGTTCGCTTTCGATAGAAGGGTGGATCGTGGTCAAAGTAGCATATCATTGCAGGAGAAAGTGACAGCGGGGTCCCGAGATTCAACATATGCCAGATTATCCGACTACAATTTAACATCAGCTTGGTAGAATTGGTGTCGGCAATGAGGAATATTAAAGAAGCTAGGTTCCCAAAACCAATCCGACGGACCCTAGCCAAAAGGATCCTAATTTATGGTATAAATTCTATGGAATCACGGCCATAGGACTTGGGACTGCCGACA